TCGCATTCGAGTCCAGAGCTTGTCTCACATCCAAAGTCTCGCCAATGAAGACCTCGTGGGGTCGCGAGGAGCGCAAACCTCCGGATCTGGGTCGCAGCGACAGTACGAGATCAGCTCCATGCCGGTCACGGAGATCATCGAGATGGTCGCTGGACTCCTCACTAAGATCACTACCTCGAACGATTTGCATCACGAACATGTCCACCGCCACATCCCGCCACCGGATGGCACCTCAAACCTCAGTCCACAGGCCACCAGCGTCCTCGCATTCCACGGCAAAAATGTCCCCAGCATCACGATCCTCAGCTACCTCACTCGTATACACAAGTATTGCCCCACAACCTACGAGGTGTTCCTGAGCTTGTTGGTCTACTTTGACCGTATGACCGAGCTGGTCAACAGAGGGAAACTCGACCACCTGCAGCGTCGCTGGGACCCTTCAGAGGATTCAGATCCTTCTACTGCATCGCCTACATCTCAACAAATGCACGACTCCCCTATGGTGACACCTCCATCTTCTACCGGCTTAGCTGCGCAGGATTCGCAGGTGTCGAACTCTTCCATTTCGCCGGGTCTCTCCCCCCAGTCTGACGCCGAGACCCTTTCACATTTCTTCGTCGTGGATAGCTTCAATATCCATCGGCTGGTCATCGCAGGTGTGACCTGCGCGAGCAAGTTCTTCTCTGACGTGTTCTACACTAATTCACGTTACGCAAAGGTGGGTTTACTCCTCCTCCCTTGACTCGGGTATCAAAAGATAGCTAATCATGGTTGAATGTATAGGTTGGTGGTCTTCCATTAGTTGAGCTCAACCACCTGGAACTACAGTTCCTTCTCCTAAACGATTTCCGACTCGCCATAACCGTCGAAGAGCTGGAGGCATACGGGACAATGCTCGTAGAGTTCTACGCACGTGAGGTTGTGACGCAACAACAACAACAACAACAGCACCAGATGAGTCTACCGAGACCCATTGACCCGGCCCGTGATCCAAGCTCAGATGCGATGTACATGCGATCCCGCGACAAGTACCGCGACCATCCAGAAGTCGGCCAGACCCCGACCCCGCCATAGTCTGGTCTGGTATCAGAATTGTCATTCGACAGTATCTCCAGTTCTTCGGTCCATCAATCCGATTAATCTCACAGCCTGCTATCCTTGATTGAGCGTTGATTTACCATCCACCTGTCCACCTAGCTCCGTCTTCCATCTCCCGCCTCCCACATGAACATGAACATGTGCACCCATTTCGACCCCCGGCATCACATACGTCACATACCCTCTCACCTTGGGCACACCGAACCACAGCCCGTACCACCTCCTATATCTCTCTCTCCGGATCTCCTTCAGCGCGTTTACACGACACGACTTGTATAGACTTTGGTTCTCAGCTGGCCGGGCTTATCGGGTTGTTTCCTTACAGCTATTCCCCTTCTGCGTTGCCTCTTTTTTTCTTCATACATAAATGATTTACTGGATCTTCTTTTCCATTGGGGTTGAGTTGTTTGTATCTTCTCTTTTCTTCTTATTTTCTTATCTCCGTCATTGGTTGGCGTTATGCTGGTCCTTTCTTGCATCGCGAGTTTGTTACAGGGTAACTTATTACTCCTTTCTGGGTAGTTTTTAGCCATTGCTTAATTTGATTGTTCAATTTGGTGCATTCTCTATCTCTCTTTCGCCGGTTGTAGTTGTACGTTTGTAGTCTGGGAGATGTCTGTACGGTATACTATCAGGTTTCTGTATTTCTGTATCTTCGTGGCCAGTGACCTCAGCGAGTATCCATGGGGATCTTCATCATCGGACAAGTGGAGCCACAGATCTTACTAACTTTGGAAGGTTGCTAAACCAGTTATTGAACAGGTATTCAATAACGTTACATATTGCCAAGGGAAAATAGAAACTGAAGCGCCTATAACAATGAACAGCTGTCAGTTGGTCTAACTGTAATCAATCAACAATTTCAACTCTTGAAAGAATTAATGACCGCCAGCGAACTTGAGCAAGAAGCTTGTATGCAGCAGCGTAAATATATCACGGTGACAATTTCTGCTTGGTTATTCCCTATTGGTAGTAATCACTTGATTTGATATGAACTCTACTCATTAGACAGTGTACAGCCCAGAACTGAGTATACAAAGTATTTAATAGTATGAAGACTGAGAAAATCTAGAATATGCATAAACGATATTCGCATGAAATTTTTGAAAGGCAAATTAGTAAATTTATTAAGTATTTAACTGAGTGTATAACGATATATTAATCAATAAAGCTTTACTCGGGCTATGCGCCTTGTTCATGTACTCGTTCAGATACTCGGTCAGCGGCTCATCAGATACTGGATCAGATGCTCATTCAGATGCTCATTACTTCATAAATCACTTCATGTAAATTGCTACCAACTCATGCATCTCCTTCTACCAATCTCCACCCTGGATGCCTTCCTGATGACTCCTTCACTACAAAATCATTCTGAACTACCCTACAAGAGATGGATTCTCTCCATCTCACTAGATTTGCCCAGGATAGAACCGAGGCAAGTCAAACCTGGTTGGTCTGGGCAATAGAGGTGAAATGGGAAGTACTTATTCATGGATAGCCCTAAGTCCGCTGCCTAGCAACCAACTCTGGCACCTTCCTTCTCGTAGTTGTATAGCATCAGTACAATCCAGCTGCTCCTTCCTCATCTTGTTCTGTTGTTATTGTTGCCATGGTGCCCTGGCTGCTGTATTTATTGTCATTTCCCTCTGTTTTGATTCCTCTTCTTCTTTCTCCCCATGCCACTGGCTTTTGAACTAGCACTGCTTCTTCATAAACATTCCCATTTTCATTGTTTCACAGCTATCATGCCTCGTTACAATCTTCGTTCACGTCCCCATTTTTCTCCTTCTTTTCCGACGGCCCTGGCCAACCCTTCCAGGAGAGTTCACTCTCTTGGTTCGGCGCGGCGGATTCCCCCTGCTTCTCCCATCTCTCTTGTTCGACTTTCTTCTTCTCCGACGGCCCTGACTAAACCTTCGAAGACCGTTCGCTGGCTTCCGAAGGAACAGTGGATTCCCCCTCTGTCTCCCATCCCGATTCGATCCATTCTCAAGATTCGACCAGACGATGTGCCCTACTTGCCACCGTGTCGATCTTCAGACAAGACACTCCTTTCGGCCGAACCACGCAAGACACTCTCCTGGAGACGCTCTCTTGTCGACGTGAAGCCTATCGAAAATCGGACCTACAGGATTATCAGAACCTATCCCGCAGTTCTATCGATGAACAAAACTCGACCAGCCGCCACTCTTTTCGGTTTCTCGAACACACAGGCCAACAGACCTCCTTCTGTCATCACTCGTTCAGCTCTTTCAAGCGCACATATCTCTCGCAACATGCATGGACAAGTCATCGTCTTGTCTGACCACAGATCGTCTTTGAACTTTCCAAGCCATCAACTCTTCAGATCAGTCCCTGATAACCTCCAGCCTGAGGTCACACTCGTTGTTCACCGTCCTACACCTGCCATCGCCATTCAACCAGTACGCCAAGAGGCCTCTCTCATGTCTCGGGCTTGTTCCTCCATCGCTGGATGGTTCAACGTCTTCCGCACTGGGGTGATGAACATGTCTGGACTCTGAACTCTCGACTTACTTATATAATCGACCTCGGTCCTTATACGCTCTTTGCATGAATACCACGGACACCACGAAAAACGCCAAAAAAAAAACTTCAAAAAACAAAAAGCCATCACAAAAACATGCATTTCTCTTTCTCGACTTCGTTCATTATACATCAAAAAACACCAAAAACATGCATTTCTCTGTTCTCTTTTTTTCTTTTGTGTTTTTACCCTCTGGACCCTGAGCTCTCAAATTCTGTCATTATACTCTTTACGAAAATCACCAAAAACCCCCACAAAAACCACAAAAACATGCATTCTCTTTTTTTTTTTTTGCGCGCTTGGACTTTTGCCCTGCGTTTTCTTTTGTTCTTTTTTTCTCTGCTTTTCTTTATATTATATCCTGTCTTTTCTTTTGTCTCTTTTTGAGATGGCGAGTCACCACGCCATTCCATTCTTTTTTCTTTCTTTTTTTTGGGGTGGGCGCGCAGAGGTTTCGATATCCCCTTGGCATCAACTCGACATTCGGCACTCCGTCTCTCGAATCGATGGCATCCTCCTGTGAACTCGCAGAAAGCAGTGGGATGTGGCTTTTGCGGCAAACAACTGAGGTAAGTCTATACTTTTGTGTCATGAGCTAACAAGCGCAAATGGTTAGCGGGCATCTGTCCCTCGACTCGGTCTACCAACATCTCGACCCGGTCTCTCCAATCGGAACCTCGACTCGGTCTCTTGAATCGATGGCATCCCCCTGCGAGCGCGCGGAAGGCAGTGGGATGTGGCTTGTACGGACGACAGTTGAGGTAAGTTTGTCAATGATATTTTGGTTTCATCAGCTCACAATGCAATTGTTTAGCGAAAATCGTGACCTCGAACCGGCCGACCTCCTGCTATAAATGCATCGAAGGCAACAACCCAATGTTGGGTACATATTTGCCTGTGAGCACATGAAAGGCAGCAAGACATGTTGCTGGCTCGCCTCGTTGGCGAGGGTAAGTTCATGCTTTCCAATCCAAGAACTTGCTAACTTTCTTTTGTTTCTTCCTGCACCCGATGGTATTCCTGCTTCTTCTTTTTCTCTTCTCTTTTTATCATCAAGTGTTCTCGCAAGTCGAGGGGCATGGAGAAGAAAACAGGACGTAGAGGAAGTTGGAAGAAGGTAAATTAAGGTGGTGGTCTGTGCACATCCGCCTGTGTCTACATGTCACTTTTGCTTCTTGTTTGCCTCAGCTTTCGTATTTCCTTTTGCTTCCTTTTTTCTATGTCTTTCTACTCAGGGCAGGGTTAAATGTGAGACGCAATTCAATTCATAGTAATAATCGCTCAACCTGAAAAACCGTCTTCCACTCCGCGCCTTGTCATAATGATACATGCAATTCGCCCCAGGTAACCGTAAAAATCACGAAAACATCATAGCAGGCTTGGCAGTCTGCTGAATTTCTTGGTCCTCAGCCTACAGCAAGTTAGTTACGATTATACATATATTGGGATGCTTTCTTACCTCGGTGAAACCAGTGGCCGAAACAAGTGCCATGAACGACTTATCCAGGTCGCGCAGAGTCTCCTGATGTTGTTTGGATGTATTTCCAATCCTCGCAGATCGTTTGAAAATGCCCACCATGCAAGCTCTGTTTTCGGCCAGGAAGATGCGGGTCTGTTGTATGATTTGCTGGTTTTGTATTCCACGAGAAAAGACAGCGGACACGATGACGCGCATGACTGACAAAAGTAGGTCGTAGTACTTCTGAAGAGCATCAGGATTGTCGATATCTGAGAAGATCAGTAAGGCATCACGAAGCGGCGGGGGATAGACTTACCTATGCCAATGTCTGGATCAGCAGCGAAAAGTTGCGAATCACGAACAGCTTGGAAGAGGCCAGCATCGAGAACATATGTGGCTCCTTTCTTGGTCTGAGACAGCCGCTGCAGTAGAGAAAGCAGTGACGCATAGTAAGTTATGAGCGCAGGAGTATCTGAATATCTCAGTTAGTAGTATGTCACGGCTGATTCAACGAAGGAAAGAAGATCTTACCGGTTCCCTGGGCTCTGCGGAGTTCAATGGGAAGAGCCCGCAAAGAATCTAGGAAGAGACTCAGACAGTTCGCCTCTGAAATGTGCTTTGCCAAAACACAATCAGTCTGGCTATCTAGAACGGCCAGGCCGTTCAAGAGCAAGAGAGCGGACGCACGGCACGAGTCTTGGCCATTTAAGGCATCATCGCAGATGGTCTCAACGAGGGCGGGGCAGCACGTTGTAATGGCGCGTTGGCTATCACGTCGTAGGCCCTTGTTGGTGTCGGATGTTGTGATGCGTGTGACGTAGTGAGAGCAGATCATGTAAAATGTCTCCCTCAACAGGACATTCCCCGTTGCCAAATTGATGCCTTGAATACAAATCTGGAAAAGGTGGTAGAGCTTTTCATTAATGGCATCTCCACTGCGAGAAATCAATGTTTCAGCCAATTTTGCCAGTTCTAGAGCCCAAGGAAGATCATCATCGGTGGCAGCCTCAAGCTGAGGAAGTATCAACTGGAGACAGTGCAGCATGAAAGCAGGGGTGACTCCTTCGTCATCATCGGAGCAAGCAATCATAGTGGAGATGAGCTCTGTCCAAGACTTGAGAGCTGCATAATGTGTGTTTTGGATCCGACGGTGATGGTTTTTCGCAGTCATGAATTGCTCAAAATTAAATACCTCCGCTCTGAATCGCTGTTTGTTTCCACCGGCGGACAATTCTGCATCCCGCATTTGGACCAGTGCCTGAAACTCATCCACGTTGTATTCGTCCAAATTACCATCCTTTGGATTGCACTTCACTTGAACAGATATGTCGTCAAGCAAAGACACCGTAGGCTTCTGGAAATCACGCAAAACGCCAAGATCCGCGAAATCGAAGAGGTCAAACACGGATTGACTTTGTATTGGTTGACCGTTTTCCATGACAGTGTTCCCAAGCAAAATCGCCATTGTTTGGGAATGCAGAGCTTGCGATCCCATTTTGGCCGTCGAACGTACTTCTGCGGCCGCATATTCGAACAAGTAGCTGCGGTAGAGCAAGAACTCTGTCATGGCCGTTGCCGAGTCTGAGATCCAGAATTCATCCATCTCAGCGCTGTAGCCACCCCAGGCCGTATTCGAATCAATGATAGGTTGTTTAGCGAACATGACCTGGAGCAAATTCAGAGATCGCATTTCAGTAAGGGTTTCGAAGCCTGCCAGCTTTGATGACCACAAATGCTTCAGCACTTCAAAGGCCATGCGTTTGAGGTACACAACCCACGACACAATTAGACCATCAAGATCCTCTGGATATGCCTTCAAAAAGTCCACGATGGCATGCAAAAGGGACATCTGTTCCGCAAATAGTCCTTGACTTGACGTTTCAAGAGTAGATCCCACACACTTGAAGCCAAGGAGAAGATGAGCTACTGTAGGACGGTCTGTGATTGTTCCCAGGCATCGCCTCAGAAGCGCAAGAAGGTTTTCTCGAAGGACGTAGCTGGCTGCCTCGGGGCCATAATCGAATTCTCTGATGTCAGGAGTCATCTGGAGTACCAAAGGCTTCGATACACTGTCCACATCGAGCTCAGATGCAAGCACCTCGACAATCTTGTTCGAGGATCGCCATTGGGCAGATTCCAGAGATGACATTTTATTGAGTTTGCGGGAGCTGGTGAGCCTTTCCAGCAATTGCATAGATGTAATCGCAAGGTCCAAATGCCCTGTACTACAATAAAGACACAGCAATGGAATGAGAGTGAGATTGCTCAACACACTGTCTTCAAATGAGGCAAGCGAAGAATTGGCCACGTTTGTTCTGTGTGGTGCAAGCTGGGAGGTGACAATCGATTTGACGACATTTAAGTATGTCGACTGAAGATCCAGAAGCAAATTCATTGCCTCCAGGCTGCGGAGCAAGGTCAAGACGACGATAGAATCAGGTGCCGCCATGCAAAGCTCTGCAGTGTCTTGGTGAGAGGCTGCAAACAAAGATTTGAGAACATCTTCATTGAAAAGCCACTCTACCACACGGGCAAAGGGATGGGCAACAACGTATGTTGACACCAACGAAGCATTCGCCGTGTGATCGGACCCAGATGCCTCGCTCAAGGCCAAGACTAAGTTCTCATTGAATGACTTCAAGCTTGACACCACAAAATCTAGGCAGTTGAAGGTCAGAAGACGGGACTGGTGGTCGTTGAGGTCCTGAACCTTTTTTGATAAGGCATGGCCTAAGATAAAATCAATGTAGGGGCCGACACCAGGCATCCGATAAGAACCACCTAGGTTCGACGGAAAAGGGAGCGACATGCCATCGTTGACCTGGTCAGAGGGAGGAGTAAAGAGTGCATTGACAAGAATGATAAACGCATTCGTCTGATCGAAGCTCTCTCCGATCTTTTTGAAGGCCTGTTGTTGATGCCACACAGGGAGGTTGGAAACCAAAGGCACTTTACCATTGCCTGATGCACTCATAGACCCGCCAGACAACCACTCGTCGATTGCCACCCACATTTGATGGCCAGCGGCGGAGGTCTTGTTAGTCATCAGCGCTGAAAGTGTCGTGAAGGCAGTTGCTCGGAGATGCGACGGAATGGGACCGCTGCACAGAGTCAACAATGTATTGACTACATTGAATGATTGGTTTTGTAACATCCAGTCTCGGACAAGCTCACTCTGACTGCATAGATGACCCATGAGCCGAAGGTAGCATGTTAGCATCACGGGGCTTTCTGGCTCGTTCATTTCCACCGGCTCCGGTTTCCGTGAAAAGAACGTCCCGACGAAGCCTTGCGAAGGTGTTGAGTTCGGTTTTTCAGTGACACGAGACGCATAAAGTTGTAGTTCAGCAAACATTTGCGACCAATTCATTGTTGTGGATCGCTTAAATTTGGAAGACATGAACTTGTCTTCCTCTGCAAGGAACTGGTGTGCTGCAGCTGCATTTTCCGGCCCTTCTGAGATTGAACAAAGCATTTCACAGAAAGCGCTGACTCGGGGAACAGTCTGTCGTTTAGAAGCCCATTGAAGGAAGCCATAGAGATTGCTCTCAGGATCAGCCCAGAATTCTTGAGCTGCCTCAGCACGGCGTTCAAAGGCAAATGAAATGATCATGAGGAAAGATTCGAGATAAGTCCGCACTTCTACTAAGCCACGGTGAAGGCTAGAGCTGAGACCGTCTCTGAGGGCAGTGATTTGGTCCAGTCTTTGGGAGTCCTCTTCCGACTTCAAATGCCGGACCGCGTCAGGCATGTTTGCAACACACGATTCGATAAAAACCTCAAAGTTTTCCATCAGAAGTTCCTTCATGAAATCAGAGCAAGCACAAGATTGTGGCAATGATACGACACTCTCCTTCAGCAGCAAGGCCACTAGTTCGCTTCGAGCGGGATCAGCCCACTCTTTATTGTTGACAGCGGCACAGATGGAAAGCATGAAGTCAAGTGCTCCGTCATCAAGGGAAGACTTAAACATCTTCGTTCGCTCTTCCGATTCCTTCTCCACATCGATATTGAGATCGACACTCGAGGGCAAGGCACCGTCAAAATACCATCCACTGTAGACTGAAAGCCACAGAGCGGTGACAGCCGCGTGGAAGTTCGGCAATTTCCAACCTTGGGGATCGGTGGTTGCGGTGATGAATTGGTTTAGATCCCGTGCTTCCCTCTCAACGGCTCCTGGGCCATCTGGAGAACCATATTGAAAAAAGGACGCAATTATGGCAGGAACGTAGTGTATTAGGAGCACGTCAAAGCGGTCTTCTTTCTTTAATTGCTGAACAAGGAAACGAACATCCTCGCTGCTTGTGAAAGATCCCTTGAACATGTAGCAAACGATCGCCCCAAGTGACTCATGCTGTTCTTGCAAGCAGGATTGTTGAAATTCAATGGCCTCCATGATATCTGAATCAAGTTCCTGGTCGAGCGTGGTGGCCTTTTGGAGCTGCTCCCCGAGAAGTGATATCCATTCCTCAATGTCACTCATGGATTTCAACGCCTTTCGGGCAAATTCTGAGGCATGCCGCAGGGGATTGTTTTTGATCCCAAGGACGTGTGTCAGAGCTGTTTGCATGACGGCTTGGAGGTTTGGAAGTTCATAGTCGAACGATAGTTTGAAGACGAGACGTAGACAGCTAAGGGCATACGAGCGGTGTTCATGAAACGTCATTAGAGCGGCGATCAGAGGGGACCTGCCTATTAGATGACCATCACGCTGGGCTTTTAAAAACATAAATGCCGCTTGGATTTCGTCGATGTTCAGGGCGTCGGCCAGTTGGAGTGCGCCTTGCTGGAAATCCGAGTTGATTTCGTATTCGTCGCCTTCAGAGCTGATCTTCCCTAGAATATGGCAATCAACATTAGTGTCTCGTCAAGGCCGCGGCCAACAGAGGTGACCCGACCAAAGAGGATGGAAGGATCAATTACCTGTGAGGACAGTCTGACGACTGGCATTGTTCTTTGGTGTTTTGTCGAGGAGCTTTTGGAAGTCTGGGAGATGCGCCTCTAATTCGAAACAGAGTCGTTCGAGATTGACATTTGGATGATGCTCGATGGCACAAAGGTCCGAGTACAGGCCACCAAGGCCACCAATGCCCTCAGTGTCTTTGGGCTCCATGACGGTTGGTGGTAATAGAAGCTGTGGAAAGAGTAGCTCAAGCTGGCAGAAAGGTGGAGCGCGATCAAAATCTCGGGCGGTAACGCGAGCAAGTACTGCCACTTTTTCAGAGGGACAACACCGGCATTCAGTTACCGCCTTGCTTACCGCCTATCCACCGTCTGCCTCACCGCTTTTTACACGAGTAATTGATAGATAGATATCTTGCCCTCAAGAATAATTTGATTGATGGCTAAATGTGTATTGTTTTCAATTGTGAAGAGGACGGCTGACATTATTGTGATTGTATGTGGACGAATAAAACTGACATCAGCCTTAATAGAGCGAGACTATAACTTAAGACGATTGATAAACATCCGTGGTTTGACGTTAACATTAAAACGTTGATTGTTGACATTTTGCCGGACAAACAAGCTCGAAGGCTTCCGTGGGCGGTCATCGCGCACTGGCTGGTACTCCACAAGTCGCGCTTATCAACCTCAATTTCGCAGAATGACATATTGATCCGAGATGTCTCTTAGATCTGGTGAATGAAGCACAGAAGTCTCCGGATTCACTAGCTGTCTGCTGCTGCTGTGACGCGATGGCGGAGATTTTTCTTGACAAAACAATCAGCTTGCTGTCATCGGACAAGCAAAAGGCGCGCTCAGATGGCCTAGCAGGTTTGTCTCCCCTCTGCAAGCCACATGCAAAGAAGGGCGACTACTGATACATTGCCACGCATAGATTTGAAACACATTCTTCAGCAGAACAAAAAGAGCTCCAAGCTGTATCCCGCCCCGAAAATCCCCCAAATGACGAGATAACTAACGCGAACAATCCCTTTGGTTAGTCAGACCCTCAACGATAAAGCCTGCCATAAGATTTTCGAGTCACTATTCCGGTTCGTCGCAACAGAAAGGTCGGCATTCAATCGCGCGTCGAATTCCAAAAGCGCGTCGAATTCCAAAAGCGCGTCCGCATCACGGCTCTCAACATGTGCTTCTGTACTCCGAATGGCGGTCGACCTCTTTCTGAGGAACGTGAGGATCAAAACGGTCCGAGCGATCGTTGACCACATCACTGAAACCATTCCAATCCCTGGGGAAGGCCTATGGGACCATCTGAGTGCGGACTACACCAAGTGTTTGGCGTCGCTTCTACGCTACCGTCCACATGCAGAGCATCTTGATGAGGAGGACTGGGAAAACCTTATAAGTTTTTGCCTTGCTGGTATTGGTCTTCGGGAAAACGAAAGTCAGCTAAGCATTCGAAGCTGTTATCGGTCTGCCCACGAAGACCCGGATGCTAGCGACAGCCGTTCGACTCCCTCGCGAATGACCCCTGCCCCAACTAGCAGAGAAGGTCACAGCGGCAACAGAAATGTCCAAGAGTCGCTCGTGCTTTGTATCCAACTTCTGACAGCCGTCCTCCACCCTCCTATTCAAAACACAGCGAATAGCATCCTTCATGGACTGGTTGATTTTGTTACGTCGCCCTCAATCGTAGCTGGGAATACGCACCAGCTCGCCTTCAGTAGCATTAATGCAGTCATTACTAAAGTCATGTTTGATCAGACCGAGCTTGTCCGCTCATCTTTGTTGAGCCTGGTTCCAGTAATCCGACGTCTATGGTCGTCCACCAAGCTACAGGGCCTCAAGGATGAGTTGCTTGTCACGTTAATGCTGTCCATTATCATACTAGTGGATACAGCTGGAAGAGATCCGTCCGAATCTTTGGCGCATGATGTGGAAGTGTTAGCGAATTCACTCCACTCTGAGTATGTGAGGCGTTCCGAAAAAGAGGCCCTACAGATCGACGACATAATTTTCTACCAGAATGCGATTGCAGAGCAGAGCCGGCCAATATATGGACCTCGTCTCGGAAATGCTAAATCGGAGTTCAACTGGACCCTCATCTGGATCATTGCAGAGTTATTGAAGCTCTCGGATGATATCAATACTCGTGTCAAGAACCTTGGGTCACCACGCGGAGATTCGAACAAAAGGCAGCGCTTCAGCTCTGAGCTTCAGGATGTTCTTCGTGACTCCACATCTGCAACTAGCACCCGAAGAATTTGTGCATTACAGCTTGTGCCTTTCGTTGAACCCAAGCTCGACCCAGAAACCAAAATCTCCTTCTTTAAGCGGCTAGTTCCAAGCATCACCGACGACCATGCTTCTGTATCGTCTTGGACAATGGTTGCTCTGGCAAGGTATGTTCCTCTCATATCTGGATCCACCGCTTCAGGCTAATTATGAGACAAACAGTATTGCAAGCGGGACGACTGCAAAGTCGCCGGAGCTTCAAAATCATTGGCCACGAGTGGTCGACTTGACTGTGCGCGCATTCTCCTCCCCAGTCACATCAAGAGCTGCATGTAATCTGATGGATGTGGTGCTCCAGTCCGGCTTATTGGAGTATTCTGATGCAATGGAAACGACACGTTCAATCTTGTCTTCTGCCAACTTGAATGGACCAGCTGCCATATCAGACTCATCACTGAGACTATGGGCGTTCATTGCACAGTCGAGGACACAACTAGATCCTGGATCAGCCCAGAAGGCGTCGATGCAGATCTGTGGCTGGTTAAGAGACGTTTGGACTGTTGGCTCTGTGACTGATCGCATTCAAACGGCTCGAGTTGCTGTGTACGCTCGCCCTTTGGACCTATTGGGTCTCTTCTCATCATGCACTAACCGACCTTTCTCTATCTCTCCACATCAATCAACCAAATTGACGGGTCCTTCGGGAAGCTTTTCGGGAGGTCCAACTGGCCTGATAACTCGGAAGTGGTTCTTTTTCCATGAGAACTCCGAGTTGTTGGAATATGCCTTCCATATAGATTCTGCCACTGTCACTCATCATGCCAACCCCTGGGTCCCGCATGAATCGTGGTGTTTGGAACAATCCTCCCGGCAAGACCCTGACGATACAGTGATATTGGATTTGCTTCGGGCGAGATGTGAGACATTCTCGCAGGCATGGCGCGTCATGAACGAGGACAGATCAATTATATCCCCGGAGAACTTGCAGATCCTGGCTTCTTTTTGTATTGTGACTTCGCTTTTCATGGCATGCCTCCCCCAGTCGGTACAGATTCGATCGCGAGATTTACAGCAAAATTGTCGGGCCCTATGGGACGCCATATGCAATTTCCTGGAAACGCATGAATCAAGGTACATTCATTCATGTTTAGAATTGCTGTCACCTCTTCTTGGCACTTTGTTGAGCTCTGGTACTCCTTCCACTATTCGGGGTAGTCTCAAGGAGCTTTTTACTCCACTTTCCAAAGTCCTTGAACAGCTTCGTCAAGACTCAAGAGCTCAGTCTTCCGGAGGTCATGATCCTATGGATTTGGATGACCGGTTGGTGAATGATCAAGCTCAGTTGGCAATCCATGAAACAATCATTTCCACGAATCGGAACGCTTCGTCGTTGTTCCTAGATCCCATCACATTCCAACTATGTGTGACCATCCAACTATCGATATTTCTAAAGGCTGAGGCAGACCCAAATTCTGGTCATCTATGGGGAACAGGTCTTGTTGATTACCTGACAAGCCTCGATGAAGCTGATCTCCTGTCGGCCCAGAACTTGCTACCCGAGATTTATCGCCATTGCTCAAACTTGGCGCCTTCCGAATTATTGTCCATCTTGGAAGACTTGGGTGAAAAATGCTTACAGTCATATGAAATGGAGCGATGTGAAGCTTCGCATTGCCTTTGCATTCGCATGATGACCAGCTTTGTCAATTCCTGGACAAATGGGCCCGATGAGAACTTGAAGGATTCGGCCATGGACTTGTATAGTTGGTTCATTGAAGTGCTCTTGGTCCGCAAACGAGCTGCTCCAAAAGCCTACATTGCATTGGCTGAACTCATCCGGGGTGTCATGAGCACTTCCCCTTCATACGGCAATGAGCAGTCTCTTCCCTCCCCCCGAACAAGTCTGTTCACCATCCTCCGGGAGGGAGACGTTCAGGTCAAGTTCACCGTTGCCAAATTCATCCCAACGCTGTTTGAGCGCTTCCTCCTGAAAGACCATGACGCTATCTTTGATGACGTTCTAGAAAGCTTGCCTCGTGATCCAGAATGGATCGAAGGTATCGCAGTCCGCCTTTTTGTGCTTTCCCAACTGGCTTCTCGGTGGCATACGTTGCTGCGCAGAAGTATTTATCATCTGTTTGAGACCCCAGCTCAAGTTTCTTCGTCTCTGTGGTACGCTGAAAGATGCATTGTCTCTGTCTCCCAGAGCCTTGGCCTGCGGGATGCCAAGGAACTATTCCGTCTTTTCTCGTCTCAAATACTGTACACTTGGACCGAGACTCAAAGCATAATGGCGATGCCCTTCAGTATATTTGGATACGACAACCTTCGGGAGATGTTGATTGACGTCAAAGACGAAATCGTTGGCCAAATGATGATGCGCGCCAGGGAACAGGAGACAATTGAATTGGCGAAACATCTTGATGTGCCGCATCTTGAACTCTTAGTGGGCTCTTTCCACAAGGCAGAGGCATACAGCATTGCGCGGGATATCAGCACCCCTCCAGGGCAAGGCAGCCAACCCAAAGGAGTCGAGATTCGGCTTAGAAAGCTGCTAGGTGCAGACCAGTTCATGATGCAGGTTGAAAGCCAGTTTCCGTCAATCGTTGCAGCCTTTTTCAAGTCCCTCGACTACTATGACCAAATTGAAAGAGCATTTTCCAAGCGTGCAAGCTTTGGCTACGCACATGATATCCAGGTGCAGATTGTCAGCAAGAGCGCGTCTCAAAATGTGCTGCCCGCAAATCAGCAGCCCTCGTTCCGAGCACGATATCTGCTGGATGAGCTCGAGTTCCTTTGCAAACGCACTGGATTCGAACTTGAATCAATATGGACTCCATCGCTGGTTTCTTTTGTCTGTCGCTCGCTTCTTGAATCGATACATCCTGCCCTTGGCTCACTTCATGCTTGCTCTGTCATCCGCAAAATACGGATTCTTGTGTGTGTGTCTGGTCCCATGATCCTTCAAGACTA